TGGTATTGCTTGCTTAGCTAACCATCTAGTGCAAGTGTATTTACTGTGAACATGTCCCATTTGTTTATACAATAGGGCAGGGTTGCCCAAACTCGGTCCTGGAGGGCCGGTGTCCTGCAGAGTTTAGCTCCAACTTGCCTCAACACACTGGTAAGTTTGGTAAGTTTCTAGTATGCCTATAAGAGCTTGATTAGCTGGTTCAGGTGTGTTTAATTGGGGTTAGAGCTAAATTCTGCAGGACACCGGCCCTCCAGGACCGAGTTTGGGCACCCCTGCAATAGGGCAATTTGAAATTATTGTGGTAAACAACACACTGCAAATTTGCTACATAAAATAATGAAACAAAAAATTGAACATTACTTCAACCAAAGTTAAAAATGACTTAAATTAGAAATACAATAAGTAAGGAATAATTGACGATGGACCGTTGAATTATTAGAAAATAATGCAGACCCAAGGTGGCCTTTACCTCAGGTGTGCATTATTTTCTAATAATTCAACAGACCAGAGTCAATTATTCCTCTTATACTATGGTTACCTCACCTAACATAAATTTTCAGATGATGTATTTTAAAACATTTGTCAGGTTTTTGTTCTTAAAACACTCTTGTGTGTAGGACTAATGTCTCATCTCAAGCCTAGAGTGAGTAACGGAGGCTTGAGCCACTGATAGCAGACTAATGCAGTTATTAGAGAGAGAATGAGAGAGATGTTAAGCTTGAGTGAATTACCTAAGTCTGTGCATCTCTCAACAGATTTCGGAAAAAGCTTCTCTACTAATAGCAAATATGTAGTTCATCTGCTTCAAGAACAGCGCTGTAATTACCTCTGTAATTAATTACTGCTGTAATTAGTGATATGGACATGTAATGCGGTCAGGACCAGCCTGGAACTACTTTAGCAATGCATTTCCCTGAAAATAATTTCACACCTTAGAACATTCGTCAGCCAATCAGTTTTAAGCATTCAACAGCCCCGTTGTATAAAGCTAAATATAAACTTCAGATATACCTGTTCTTTGAGCTGTTTAATCTCAGCTCGTAATGTCTTCTCCATACTCTCCTTCTCCTGGCGTACTGTGTCTGTCTGCTGGTGGAGCTCCAGGAGTCGTTTCTGTAGCAGGGCCTGTTCCAAACCTTCTGCCTCCTGAAATTAAAGCAACTAAAGTTTTAGACCGCTCCTACAGGAGATCTATTAAACCAGAAGACTGAATAATGTAGACAAACCATTAAAAATGTTGTGGGTTGCAAATAATTTTTTATGTTGTTGTTTATGCTCACCAAGACTGGATTTATATGATTACATACAGTAAAAACTGTAATATTGTGAAATATTAGTACAATTTAAAACAACTGTTTTCTATTTGAATATCTTATAAAATGTACTTAATTCCTGTGACTGCAAAGCTCAATTTTCAGCAGCCATTACTCTTCAGTGTCACATGATCCTTCATTCTAATATGCTGATTTGGTGAAACTCAAGAAACATTTCTAATTATTTTCAATGTTGAAAATATATGTGGTTTATTTGTTTTTACATACATTTATTATAAATGTCTTTACAGCCACTTTTGAGCAATTTAATATATCCTTGCTGAATAAAAGTTACAAATAAAAATAGTGTAATAAAAAGTATTAATTTCTTAAAAAAAAAAAAAAAAAGTGATTCAGTGATTCATGTAAATAATGTTCACCTGTTCAGTGATGATACCAGTAGCTGCGTCATAGATCACACTGTTTCCCTGTCCATCAGGGTCCACAAGAACAAGAGTCTGAGTCCCATTGGATGAATTCTGGGAAGACCCCACCTCTTCCTCAGCACCCAATGGGATTCCATTTCTCTCACAATCTTCCTTCAAATATAAAGGAGAGGTCAACTTCAATACTTCAAGTCAAACACCAAAAAGGCTTAGTAGTAGATCATGCTTGTTAATGAAATGCCCAAAATAAAGCTTTGAGAGTTTGTCTACCTTTGGCTCCACAGTCAATAGGGTTTCAGTGCCAGTGGTCAGGAAGGGCTGAGTTAAGATGGCTCCAATGCTAGTGCCATCTCCACCTGGTCCAAGACTCACTGTCAGCCCTTCATATGCTTCAGCATGAGCCTCTGAGCTCTCACCATAATACTGTCGGCAGTTCACATTCTGTGAGAGCACATATGCAAACATGATCAAAAAATGTGATATCCAAAGGGGAATAAAACGATTTAACCCAGTGTTTCCACTTTTACCTGTGTGACTTGGATCTGAAATGTGGTGTGGGGATTTCGGAAGTGTGTTTTATAGTGTTTGATGGCCTCGTCCCTCCTGTTGAAACCATTTCTACAGCGGTAACAGTGCCAATGTGCACCTTTAAACCGTTTTTCTCCTTTAATAGTGCCCACAATCTCGCAATGGATACAGCAGCGCAGCACCTTCAAGCCTGTCCATAAAAAAATGAGATAGAGAGTGTCTCCAAAGGGCATGAATCACATGCGAGTCTATAGTCTCACTGTACCTCACCTGCAAAGTCAATTCCTTTGTCCACGTGTTTGATGCGGAAGTGAGCTTGCAGGATAACAGGATCTTGGTAAGCCTCGGCCACAGAACAGAGCGGGCAGTGCATGTGCACTCCTTTCTCCTGTCCCAAACACTTCTCATCCTGACACAGCACAGGTGTGTATGTGTGTTCTGTTCCTCTGACATGAACCGAAGGATGGGCCTAGAAAAACAAATGCAGACAGACAGTGAATGCAACTCTAAAAGAGAGATTATAATGAATAAGCAGCCCTATTACAATGTGAATCACTTCGGTGTTAACAGCTGTTTAGGGCTGGTGGTGACATGCAATGAAATACGCAAATAATTTATTGATTCTGAACACACAAATCAGTCCTTTTTATTTTGTTCTAACTGGGACAAATCTGTGACTAGAGGTTGCTGTTCAATGCTGTTAAATGTTCTTGTGAAAGCACATCTGGCGCTCGTGCACATTACCGTGAGCAGGAATGGGGAATCTGTTGAAAAACAGACACATCGAGTGAGTGGTGATGTAAAACAGGTTGCTTGCTCTGTCATTACGACTATCATTTGTTGTTGTTTTACAGTCCGGTTGCAGATGTACAGCAGGGCAGTATTAAGGTTATTGAAATATGCACTCTGGTGATGTCTAACCCCCTCTATTTTAAATCCTAGTAAGAATTTTGCTCTGATGTGAACAGTTGCAGATATACAGCAGTGTCACCAAATCTGACAAGGCAGGGTTTCACGTTACCGAAACCCCTTACCCCTTTTATTTCAAACAGAATGGCTTTAATGTTACCCAAATTCACTCTGGTGATGTCTAAACTCCTCTATTTTATATTCTAGAAAGGATTTTGGTCTGATGTGAGCAGCTGCAGATATGGGGTCACCAAATCTGACAGGGCAGCATTAAAGGTTATTCAAATCGGTTACCCCTCTCTATTTTGCCCACGATGGCTTTAATGTTACCCAGATTCACTCTGGTCATGTCTAAACACTTTCATTTTTATATTCTAGAAAGCATTTTGCTCTGATGTGAACAGCTGCAGATATACAGCAGGGTCACCAAATCTGACAAGCCAGCATGAGATGCTAACAACATCTGTTACCCCCTCTATTTCACACATACTTTATAAATATCCCTGAGCATGTAGTTTATTTAGCTTGAATCAACATGCATGTTTACACATTAGAATTGGAATTGCAGATGTTTCACACCTTGACATTTTGTTTTAAGATGCATTTCTTCACTCTTTAAGAGCCCCTTGTGGTAAACATAAGCATTGCCGCTGTAAATCAATAAAACTTGGCCCATGGCGTTAAGTTTAACATTATGAGAAATTATTACCACCACTATCTTGAGCTCTCGTTTGCAAAATGTTATTATTCATGTACATGTTGAAGATGAATAACATATACTTAAACGGCCCTGAAGCATCACTAACAATTGCATTTACATATATTTCCCAAGGCCTGCAAGTAGCTCAATGAAATAATGTGTCGTTATAAAAATCATATTAATAATATTACGTTTATTATGCAAGTCTTGACTACTGCACTGAATCACATTGGTCCACAAAGTTAAAAGATGCACGCAGCTTTTGCACCAAGCTAACAACTTTAGCAAGCTAACACAAAACTCACAGCATTTCACGTTTAACCTTTCACTCACCACAAAAGCGGACATGCTTTTGATATGATATAGCAATCCGATTTAAATTCTGCTGTCCGCCCGGCGTTTGTCGTAATCTTTAGCCTATGAAACAGCCCATTTCAGAGCGCCTGTGTGTGGTTCGTCATCTGTGTGTACACACATTCACCTGCTGCGAGTTTCCAGTCACATAACACCGATGAACGCAACAACCAGTTGTCAGCATTAGAGTTCAACGTAAATGAATTGCATTGGCCTTCATTAGTTTTGGTGGAATTTTAAACCAATCAGCACCGTAATCGATGAGTAAGGGATGTCGGCGCTGCCACAACGACGGCTGCACATCCATTTGAATCAAACGAAGAAAAAAAACCCAACATAATAAATATCCACAAATCTTTAAAGCAGACTTAAGGTTTAGACCACTGATCTATATTAAACGGTAATGTTTTTATTTAAGTTACTGATATAGTATTGTTTAAAAAAAATCATTTTTAACGAATTAGAATATAGATTTGCATGTGTAGTTTAATGTTTTGCTGAAGTGATTTACAAAATACAAAAAAACTTACAAAATATAATTTATTTCATAAACAGTCTTCTACAAAGCTCTAATAAGTATCTTCACTCTGCTGCACTGCGAGGGGATGTAGCTCAGTGGTAGAGCGCATGCTTTGCATGTATGAGGCCCCGGGTTCAATCCCCGGCATCTCCACTTTTCTTTACGGAGTGCATAGTTCGATTATATTCAACACTTAATCTCTGACTCAGATAGATACGCCAAAAACTACTTAGAAGGCAATCCATAGGAAATGTAAAATCAGTTTATTGATTTTTTTCTTGCAATTGTCTTGCTAACCACCAGAGGTCTGTCTCTCACATTGATAAGGTTCTATTACGTCAATCAACTAGGCACTCAATTTGTTTAAATGTGTTGAAAAAGCAAGCATAAAACCAGTCAGCTGCCACAGAACAGTCAAAAGGTGATTTGTATAATTGTGATACGCGGCATGTTTCTTCTTGTTTACGCCAGTCTTCATCTGGCATCTGTCAGCAAAGGCTACAAATCACATTAAAAGAAAAAAATTAATTCAGCCATTGCCTCTCTGTTCAGCACTTAACGTTAGTTTTTAATGTTACAAATGCAAACTTTTAGAAAATTAAAAATCAAATAGATAACAAATATACACTACCGTGCAAATATATATATATATATAAAAAAGTCTCTTATGCTCACCAAGGCTGCATTTATTTGATCAAAAATACAGTAAAAACAGTAGTATTGTAAAATATTGTTTCATTTTGAAATAACTGTTTCCATTTGAATATATTTTCAAATGTCCTTTATTCCTATGATGGCAAAGTTGAATTTTCATCAGCCATTACTCCAGTCTTCAGTGTCACATGATCCTTCA